GTGCAAGCATTTAGCAACAGAGGAGACCAACTGCTGTAATTGACTTTTTTTATTTTTTTAAATTCTTGCCTGATACATACATAGGCACTTGCCCCGCGATGGATGGATGGATGGATGGATGGTATATACAACAAAGTGGGAGAAGAAGAGTCAAATGGCAATGAGTATTAGACCCAAAAGGTTGATTCTGTTCATCTGGACGTAGCTTTTCCAATGAGAGAAATGTTTTGTCATTCATCCTAATGAATGACAAAACATTTAACATTTTGTCATTCATGAGTGGGCTACGTCCAGATGAACAGAATCGACCTTTTGAGATTTACTTCCCTGGATGATTGAGCATGAATCAAGGCAATGAGCATTAGAGGGGCTCAACCACTCGCAGAAGAAAAATATATGAATGAAAAGATGCAAACTGCATCCTGTTATATTTTCTCTTCTGTCTACAGTAAAAGCCAACAGCTTTCATCCTCATTTTCACTACCACTCAGCAGGATTTCTGGGCAGCTGACATAGACGGGATATAGTTGTTTATGTCTTTATCATGAGCCCATAAGCAGACAGTCACACACTGAATCATGGCCTGGAGCAAGTGGAACAACATGGCAGGTTTTAAACCTCTTACTTCATTCCTCTCTGCAGGTTTATTTATAGTCATCTGCTTCCTTAAGCATCTAAAATGTCCTGAAGCAGCTGACATAACACACACTTTAATACCAATACTGTTTATTTTTTAAAGTCTCTATTTTTTGTGTGCCCAGCGCTGACTTACTAGCAGCAAAATGCTCTTAGTCCGACACTAAAGCCTTGCTGACAGCGGGAGGATTTGATGCTGCGGCTTGCACTCAGCAGACAACAATCCAATCAGTTTCTGGTTGGTAATCAAAACTCTATGAATCTGCAACTAAACAGTACTTGCTATCAAATGCTACCATGGCTTTGTTTATGAACAGGGAAGCATCTTGAGGTGACTGTTGTTGTGACTTGGTGCTATGTAAATAAAATGCAGTTGTACTGTGGGTTTGTAAGTGGGTTTGTTAGCTTATTTTGGGGCTCCTACTTTATCTATTCCATGCAAACCTGCTGTTGAAAGCTGTTGTTATGGGAGATATATCTTTCTAGTCCCTATCCCTACTTTCACTGCAGTATTTTATATCACCACATTTTTCTAAGATCTTTAGGGCTGAGTACAGTAGTCTCTGTTTTATCTGCATTTAGAAGCCGGAATTTAAAGGTCATCCAGGTATTTATGTCTATTAGACATTCCTGCAGTTTGACTAATTGGAAAACATTCTAGGTTTTGGCAACTCTATTCTGAAAAACCTGAAGCTAGAGACACAAGCAACCCCAAATCATTGTTGATTGTCTTCCAGAGGAGACACTGAAGGAACTCTGAAACACTGCCAGGGATAACGTACGGTTGCACTGTAACCTTGGTTCTCTGACTGAGAGACTATCTCTCCACTCCGTTACATATTCCATATGTATGGGGTAACTCTTTAAGACACCCTGTGAAGAGACAGTGCAACCGAAACCCCAGCGTGAAAGTGTACAAAACGAACAATGTACAAATGTACATATCAAGGGCATAGACTTGGTTTTGGCATTGGTGGGGACGGCTGATTCAACCACCGAACCCTGCCCTGTTTCTTTTTTTTTTTCCTTTTTGTCTTTGCTTTTTGATAATAAAAAAAAAAGGAGAAATATACTTGCCTACATATGATATTCTACATGCTTTTAAACCATTTAAAATAACAATTCATAGTTTTATATCTGAATTATATAATGTTAAATTACAAAATACATGCAGTCACACATGTGCACCACCAAGTCATCATCCAATTTCACCTGTGATCTTGTATCACCATTACTCTCTGAGCTTTGTGTTGGTTCTTCTGTCACCTGACAAATAGGACATACATGACAATAAGAATAAAATGTGGAGCTGCTTCAGTGTTTCTGTCAAATTGTGCAGATCTTGACTCATCAGTAATGTTTGCAGGGTGAGTGCATTGTTAGAACAATTTGTGCAAACTGCACTACAACGTGGAATATTTGCAAAATAATGACTAACTCGTGATATTTTGTCTCAAAAATTAACCCTATGAATATGTCAGTACCATTAGGATGAAATTATTGTTTCACCAACATTTTAACGTTAGACATATAATTCTAACAGCCTCTGCAAACTAATATCCTGGCTTGCTCGAGGCTGCCGTTTTCTCTGACAGTTTCAATCAAAATTAGAAATGCTACTCTGGGAGACTGAGATAACGAGTGCTGCCTGTTGTGCTGTTAGTTTCCCAAACACGTTATTCATGGTTACATACAATTTTAGACTGATGTGGGCCAAAGCCTAGCATAGCCTGTGACGTTATTATGACGGACACATTTTATGAGTGAACTTGACTTTACAGGTTTCTTTGAAAAATACTTTCTTATGTCCAGGTTCTTCCTTTGTGCTGCCATCCTCCTCTCCTCCTTGCAGGTCCTCGCAGCGCAGGCTTGCCGCTGCTAACACTAAACAGAGCTCACTGAAAGGCCCAGCCAATCACATTGGCCATTTTTGTCACATGAGGTAGGACTCCGGTAGAGAACGTAACTCTTTCTGCACCGCTGGGTGAATGAGACGTTGACAGATTGTTTGTTTGTTTTTTTTTGGTTTTTTGGTTTTGCTTTTCTTTACTCGAAGAGATCAAATTATTGGTGGGGACATGCCCCTTCCGTCCATGCCAAATCTACGCCCTTGGTACATATGTACACACCACCCTGGTCAAGGCCCCGCCAGATGCAAAGGCCGAGCTGGAGGGAGGAGGCATCAGTCTGCCAGACGCAAGACTGGCCTGAGTGACTCCCACAAGACACAAGGTCCACACCTAAACAGCCGCTCATGGTCAGCCTGCAAGACACTAGGCCAAGCGAACAGACAAAGGCTACCTCAGAGGGGCACCCACCACCTCCTCCCCAAAAGAGGGGCTGGCTGCCACATTCAAGCGGTAAAACCTATTAAAGGTGGTAGCCGAGGACCATGATTCCGCCACACCAATGGTAGAGAGAGAGGAGCCCCTCAACAAGAGGTGGCCACCCCATGGGATGAGTGGGCCCGCACTCCTGAGAGAAGGGGAACCCCTGCAGTGGCATAAACCTGCCGGGTTTAAAAGACTGCTTATTTTAGTTAATACTTTGATCTGAAATAAGATTAGTCTTTATCAATCAATTACGTCCCACATGTGTTTAAGGTGGTAGTAATTAAACCAGTATGTAAAAAGCCATCACTTGACCCATCTGTCTTAACTGTAGGTCAGCCTCCAATCAGCTCTTACTGGAACAGTGGCGCGGCTGCCCCTCTGTTGGTCTTCCATGGTCTCTTGTGTTCTGGGGGCCTCTGGATGTCTGGAGTTTTGATCTCCTCCATACCCGCTTCACACCCTGGAGGATGGGGCTGTGGCCCCCCCACACTCCCTAGCAGATCATTACATGGAGAAACCTTTGGAATGCAAGCATGCTGATCCACACAGGTATGCACACATGGGTATTCACAGACGCGGACTAAAGCTTTCTTGGCTGCTGCCTCAAAGCACACTGTGCGCTGTCTATCTTGCGTGCTGCACAATATCGTTTATTACTTAGTAAATACTGATATCTATGACTAGCTAGTTTATTGTGATGGTGCTTTGTTTTCTCTATTATTATGTTGCTCTTTGTTGTTTGCTGTCTCCTCTGTTTGTTTGTTTGTTTTTTTTTTTCTCCATACAGGTGACCCAGGAGTTTTGTTTTTTTTTTGTCTCTCTTCCCCCCCTTCTCACCGTCTCTTCTCCCCTTGGGTTTTCTTTCTTTCTCTCCCCCTCTCTCTCTCATTCATTCCCCTGTCCTATTTATTAAAAAAAAAAAAAAAAAAAAAAAATGACAAAGGATGAACTGAAGCTCTGCCATCACGTAATGTCGCATACTGCTGTTTCTGATGTCATTTTAAAAAAAAAAAAAAAAAAAAAATTCGTGAAAGAGTAGTTGTAAAACAGCTATCTGATCATCCGCAGATGAAAATAGTTTATCTGAAGAGATGGAGTCATGTTTCAGAGCTCATCAATACAAATTACCTTTTTATGGCCTCTGACAGTGGACTGATTTTTCTGCTCCTTCTGCTAGACTTTAGTGCAGTATTCAATACTATTGACCACAATATGTTATTACAGAGATTAGAGCATGCCATAGATACTGAAATTACTACACTGGAGTGGTTTGAATCATATCTGTCTAACAGACTCCAATCCAATTCAAAATCATTCTGATTCGGCACTATATAAATAAAAATGAACTGAATTGAATTAACTACAAGTGCCTTAGTATCTCACAAGCCACTCGGAAACATGATAAAAATTCATGAAGGTTAGCCACGTCCAAATATCTAAAAGAAGTGCTGAGTGGTCAGCTGAAGTGCAGGAATATGATCCAAGCCATCAACGCATACGCCCTACCTGTCATCTGATACCCAGCAGGAGTGATGAACTGGTTACAGGAGTAGACAGATACCACTGATGTCAAGACACAAACACTACTCACATTGAACTGAGACCTCCACCCTCAGTCCAGCATCCTGAAAGCAATTCATGATAACAAAAGGAGCAAAATTTTCACACAGGGCCAGGTGGGTTTAGACAGCTTGTTTCCTTTAATAAATGGCATTACTATTTAAAATAATTTTGTATGTGCTTGGGTTATCTTTGTCTAATATTCAAATTTGTTTGCAAATACTCACGTAATACCTAATATGCTATAATGAGATAGCTGTTCTTTTGTTTTTTGTTTTTTTGAAAAGATAAGATAAGATAACCTTTATTAGTCCCACACGTGGGAAATGACAACAACAAATAAAAAAATAAGGAAATGCAAAAAAAAGTAAGATGTCTTCATCAGTGATGTTTAGAAGTTCTTATAAATACTACATATTTCAGTGCTGTATTTTAATCTTCTTCTGATAAAAGCTTTGCTGAAAGCAACAGGAGTGAACCAGTCAGGGTCTTTGCTACATTTTAGCCCATTGGGAGATGCTCCGCGTCATACCTGGAAGGGGCGGAGCTGTTTTTCTAAAGATCCCGCGCTGTGCCGAACATGCAGAGAGTGCGTGAGAAACGCCTGGAGGAAGTAAGAGGCAACTGCGACTGTTGGAAAATTCAACACTGCGCTTTCTTTGCTGTGTTTTTAAAATGTGGGCACGAGCTGTGTTGTGCGCGGTGCTACTATCTGCGCTGTGTCCAGCGGGGAAGACGGAAGCCGAGAGGGACGAGAGAGAAGTGCAGGACTACCACAACTCCAACAGACTGGTAAATCCGAGTGTGGAATATTTACAATATCTAATATTTTAATACACACACACATAAAGGTATTTTGTGATGAAAAGGGGGTTCATACGCTTTGCTTTAATAAAAGTTATATGTCTTTGGATACGATCTGAAATTTCTTCTGTTTAAGTATTTAACATATATACCTCTTCCAAATGTATGCTGGACAAACTTCTTATGCAGAACTGAACCTGTAGTATCAAAATAAAAGCACTCATTCTGTAGTGAAATCTCCATTAGTGTCAGCTTTTTTGATCAAATTTTGGAAACTGTAATAATAATAGGTGGCTAATGTTTTTCATTGCAACAATGAATTTGTAAAATGTAAATAAATTAGTAACTATTTGTTAATTGATGTATAACATTTCTGGTTGCATTATGAAGATTTGCTTATTTTTGTGTTTGACTGATTTGATTGCTCAGAGTTAAGAGGACATTTTCAGCATGAAAAGTATAAATGTATGAGGGTTGTGTTTTTTCATTCAATTAATCAAACAATAAATGAACATTAGATTAGTAAATAATGAAAATTAACCCAAAACATCTTCAGTTAATCTATTTATATTGGCACCAAACTCATAAAAGCTGTCAGGTTCCATGTTCTTCAGTGACACAGCGCAGCATGGTGATTTAAATTGGTTCAAATCTGATTCATCTCTTCTGTGAGTTTGCGCTTCAGCTTTCCCCAAAGCACAAAGATATGCATGTTAAATTAATTGGCTATTTGAAATTGGCAATTGATGTGAGATAGACAAAGTGCTTGAAGTGTATAGAAAAGTGTAAATCTCTATATGAATGTATGGAGGGGGGATTTGTATGAATTTAGCAGATTATTAAAAAGCTGTTACTGTATTTCAAACCAGATGTCATATCGAACAGAAAAATGTAATCCTTTAGATCTGGCTGCCTAATTAGTCCACTCAATATCCTTTAGTTCCTATAACTGTACTGCTTCTAACTAAGGCAGTATAATTCTAAAAACATGAGCCATAAGACAAGTCAATAATGAGAAATATGTGGAATATCTTTTGCAAGAAATGCTGACAAGTGTCAAGCTGGAGACTTTTTTAATTCTTGTCTTCTTTTGCCTAAATTCAGTTAATACAATTGCTTATTGTTAGTTTTATTATTGACCAATTGATGTTTAAAGCCTTTGTCATAGATGGAGCAATGCTGTTGGACAGAAAATGACAGAATGGCTGGATGACAGTGACTGATGCACTAAAGTGTTCTCCTGTGTTTCCAGGCTTAATTTTGACCACACATTAGCTTCACGTCTGTTGTATTTTTGTTTTTCTCAGCTTGGTGCGCTGCATGAAGTGCTGGAGAGACTGCAAACCAAGAGAATTAATCCCTGGGAGAAGAAGTATGGACAGGTCCCCTCTGTGAGTCACTAACACTATACTCTGATTTAACACTTGTGACAAAAAATGTTTAAAACATTTATAATTTCTCTAAAAGTGTATAACATTCTAAACCTCAGTGCAAAGGTGCTCAAGAATAAAGGTATAACAAAAATGCAATGAAAAAAAATCAAAAACAGCAACAGTGCACCAAAGCTGAAGCAGCATTTTACTGTTTTAATGATTAAAGGTATGATTCCCTCTAGAAAAGTGCTTTTCTCGGCATCAGAGATCGTCCTTGCTGTGCCTTTCTTTTTTTTTTTCTGACAGCAGTTATGAATGACTTCTTTTGGACTGCAAGAAAGCATAAATTAGCAGAATGGTTGTGTTAACGTCTTAGTGATACTTTGTGAATTTTCATTCCATGAAGTCCAGAGTTTGATATTAAAAAGTTATTTGTGTTCACAGTGTGATCTTGGGGAATACTGTGCCATCAGGAAAGGATCTCGGATTGGGAAGATGTGCGACTGCCCCCGAGGAGCTTTCTGCAACTTCTTCCTCCTTAAGTGCTTATGAGCAAATTAAATCATGTCACAAAAGTTTATTTTAAATTGTAGATTTAACCTTTAGAATGGAATGAATCCTTTGTCAATTTTTATGTGAAAACATTTTTGTGCTGCATTATAGGTGTTTTATCTTGCTTTTAAAAATGTTGTAGAGGTTTGTTTTTTTTTTAAATAAAGTACACAGACCTTCTCATAAGTTTTCATACATTGCAAGATGTGTATGTAAAATCCTGACTAATCAGGCAAAAGACAGGAACCCTGTTCAAGCTTGCAGTCCTTGTATCAACACACATATGTAGCATAAATGTACCCTTTTGGGATCTGTGAGAAGTCATATTTCTTCTGATGATAAAAACCAGAGTCTTGACAAAAAGTGTTGAGGTCATGTAATTTCAAACTATTAATGTTAAACTTAATGAGAAAAAGTAGATCGTAGCACAAACGAAGCAGAAAAATCTTTGGATAGCTTTTCACCGTGTGTTTGTGACATAAACGTTTGACTTGCTTTTCTACAGGTCCTTTGACAGTTATTTTCCAGTCTCCTAACAGTGATGCCATCATGGCTGTCCCCATGATGGTGACCATAACCCAGGCTTAGAAGACACACAGCTATGCAAAATTTTCATTACCTATTTTTTCCCCTCTTTTGTCTAAAGCAGCTGTTTTCAGCCTGTATTGTTTTTACGCTTTTTCTACTAATTTTTGTCAAATCAGCTGCTCTGCTGCCAGTAGACTTTACCCTTTAACCTTTAATACTATCAGGACAAACGTAAAGTTATCATGACTGAAAAGGCTACATCAAATTATGTAACACATAAATATAACAGATTCGATGAAGTTTAAAAAAAAAGGCAATCCACCACAATTTGACAGGAAGCAGCACCTGATCAATGAGAACCATTATTTGTTAGTAAATGTAGAATGGGCTGTTTATTAAAAATGACTTTCAATTGTGTGTCAAAACAATGAAACCAAAGGACAAACATGTTCCTAATATTAAGCAGCCTTGTGTGGCCTCTTCTGTTCCTCCACATAATTACTGGCATGACTCAGTTTAAAAGCATCAAATTTACAGACATAATTGTATTTTCAGCCAATAATTGATGGGGTTTATTTAGTTTCACCCAACTGGTCCTACACTTATGAGAAAAGGATAACTTAACACCTCAAGTTTGGAGAGGGAAAACACATAAAACGGATGTCCACAAATCATCAGTCCTACAGCAGAGCTCTTTGTCCCAAATGGATTTTATTGGGAAGATACTGTACAGAGCTTAGACTCCTCGGGGCTGCTTGAAGTTCATGCCGACAGTAGGTTGGGTGACCTGCAGGTTGGACAGGCTGCCAAAATCCTGAGGGACATAAACAAGACACTGGTTTAAGAACTGATCTGAAAGGAGGTGACTGCAACTCAATATCAACTCAATACTCAATGTCTGAGAGCACCAGGGTCTGACAGGAACAGACAGTCCAGCAAACACAGGGAAGGCTCACATGTTTATATGCCTGTAGTTAATAAATGACCTGGCAACAAAGGCGCCATGATCACCTTTCGATACAGGCTCAAGGGAAATGCAAAAGCAACAGCAAAGTTACACAGCTAGCCGTCTGCGTCTTCTTGATGGAATGGTCCTTCAAATATTTTGGCCTGCTGTGTAGCACGACTACCCGGCTGGTTTGTACTTCAGCTGTGGTGAGTACATTTATATTCACTTATTACCAGGCATGTGTGGCTGCACCAGCATAAACACTCATGGTTTTTTTTTAAATGCTGTGTCCTGAAATAAATACGTGATGTGAAGGTTTTAATATAGTGATGTTAAACAAAATGGGTGGGGGATCTAACAGCATCACATGAACAACAACACACTTGACAAAAACTGCCAAAATCAGTGTGAAAAACTAAGTACACCCCCATGATTCCCAATCAGGTTGAGGTTTGAACTTTGACTAGGCCATAGTTCCCTTCTTTCGCTGCATCTCTGTTGGAGATTTGCCCCTGTCCCGTTTCCTGACCAAAGCTGATCATTTTGATATACAGAGTACAACAAGACGTCCTGTGGCTGCAAAAGCAGCTCATATCACTGGTCTCCTCTGTCCATGGGGCGTAGTTTTAGAAGTGTGTGGTTTATCAAAGCCAAGTAAAAGCATTTGTTGATAAATGACCGAAAAGAGAAATCACTACCTTCATCTGTTACACATTTACCGATTTATTTCAGCATCGTGTAATTATTTGTCTTCAAACAACAGGCCTAACACAGTTCCCTTGTACATTTTAAGTAGTAATACTATTTTTACTTCATAACAGTGAAAAACTTATTGTTAAAATTATTTAACATGAACACTTAAATTTATCATGTAAACATGCCAGATTTAGCCAGAGAGACTCATTTTCATCTGCAATCCCTGGAAGGCTGATGGTGTTTACAGACAGAACAGAGCGTTTGTCCTGGAAGTCCTTCAGTATTTTTTAATTATACTGCTATCAATTTTAACATTTACATGCTATCTGAGGCCCGTGGAATCTAAGGTGCAGGGTTTGTTTGGTTTTTCAGTTTATCTGAACACTGCATTGTCTGACATTGGGCTGAATTTGCTGGGGTGTCCACTCCCAAGAAGGTCGGCAACTGTCTTGAATTAGAAACCGCTTTAGTTACCAAATACATGTGCACGTGCATGGAACTGGATTTGGGCTATTTCTTTGCCTGTAGTGTACATAACAGAGTAGACAACAGCACATATAGCATACTTATATGTGTTTAAAAAAAAAGAGGAAAAAACACATGTCCCATTATCTAATTTTTTTTCTGTCTACGACATTTCAAAACAAGTTTTAAGGGCATGCTGCACTTTGACTCTCTGGTTTGAGTGGCTGTTTTTAAAAGCTCCCTTCTTGCTGCTGGAATCGGACCGTTACAAGCTCAGGTTGATTCTAGTAAAATCCTTTACCTGGAAATTCTGCCATTTAAAAGCTGAACACAGGGACAGAGGCAAATATGTCCCAACAAACTGATTTCAGCCATTTAAATGCTTCTGTGCTTTAAATAAAATCTTCTGGTTTAAAAGGCCTGAACAGCAACCTCCACTCTGACAGTAACACTGGTTACACAACAACTGCCAGTTTTAATGAAACACTAAAATGGATCAAAGTGTTCTGAAGTTTTCAAACCCTCTGGTTCCTCTGAAGGCGATTCGTGACCTCCCTTGATGTTGCTTGATGAGATGTGCCTTCCTACAACTCCTCTCTAGAACTACACAAACTAAAGAGCTCCACTGGCTGGATACAATTCAACACTCAAACTCCATTAACTCCAACCATTTTTTTTTATTTCCCAACTCAAGACCAATTGCTGTTATCATTAACAAGATTAGATGCCTGTGTCTGATCTAAGTCATTCCACCATTAAACATCTAACAAATCAGCTTCTTATTTCTGTCATTACCTTTGTGAGCCTGTTGCTTTTACATCTTTTTATTTTCATTTGTAGTTGGAACATGCCTTTAATTCTAAGATTTATGTCTGATCACATAATTTTTCAGTAGTTTGTTTTTGTGTTTAAAACACGGCACACAGAGGATTCAATTTGTGAGAGGATTTGTTTACAGTATAACAGACCCTTTATTTTAATCAGTTAATACATTAACCGCTAAGCCCCAGCAGAGTAAGATGAAAGTAAGTACCGCAAAAACTGTACTTGTTCTGTCCTGTTACAGAAAGACTTACCAGCAGCTTCAGCATCTCCTTGGTGTCGGGATCAACTTCAATCAGCTCCTGGTCCAAAGCAGACACCTGGACAGATAAACACACAGGAATCACATTAGCCATCACTACATTCTTCATTTCCGGTTAATACTTGTACTACATATCGTACTGTGTATGACTGTGTACGTGACAAATAAAATTTGAATTTGAATTTATCTCACACCTCAGTTATTTCCACAGTTGCAAAGTAACACCATATTATTTTGTTTACTTATATCCATCTGTTGTGTTTAAAAAAATTGTACGAGTGCACAAAAAGAACAGAAAGTCCTTCAAAACTCAAGAAAATTTGTATGTGTTGTTTTTTTCTGCATTGTGAATCACCTGCCTACAGACCATAATCACAAAACAACTGGTAGAAAGAAAGGTGTTCGGTTCAGGCAGACTACCAGGACACAAAAAACACATAACAGGCACAATTTGGTTTAATGTGTCCAAAAGCCCCATCAGGGCTGGACACTCGACTGTTCCAGCTCCTGACCATGTTTGCACTTCTGAGATCACCTGTGGATAAACTGGTTGAAGCAAACACTCACAAATATATAGCTCTGTCTTGCAGCCAGTAACAAAATGTATGAAGCCAGTGGTACAAAACTACAGTTTTATTCAAATTTGCAACGTAGATGCACGCATACTGAAATATTGGCACACTACAATGCAGACTTTTTTTATTTGCCTTTTTTTATTTTATTTTCTACTTTGTACATTCTCTGCTACTACTCTGCTCTATTACTGTTAAGCTCAACTATTTCTCCAATAGATGAAACAAATCAAAACCCAAACGCCAGATGGAGTGAAGAAACTTTCTAATCCTAATCAAATGTTAATGGGTAAAAAGGAAATCAACAGCTTCAAACACAAACAGATAGGGATGCTATAAAACATGGATGTAGATTCCAGGATAGGGAAGATTAAGCCAATGTGGAAATATCGCCAACCTGCATTCTATCTGAGAGCCACCAGATGGCATAAGCTGTGGTTGCAAAGAGGCTCCAGATTCTAAAGAATCCTTTTATCTTGGCCTCTGTCCTGTGGAGTTTATGGTCTTAGTCTCTTACTCTGTATTACAATAAATAAAAGAAACGGTCTGCAGTGCTCACGCAGAGCAACTTTCAAGTGTCTTTCTTTTACTGCCTTCAACAGGCATCGTTACATATGTCTGGAAAAATGTTTGTTTAGAAATTAGAATAATTGTATTACTCTAGAGTGATTGTTGCAAACAGATTGAATTTAAGTGCCAATTTGATTCGCACAATCCAAAACTGATTCCATCTTATTGCCATTTTATCAGCATCTTGATGCACTAATATTCCTTCGAAAACAGAACCTGACTGGGAGTGATCTCAGACCTGATAATATTTTTAAAGGGACCAATTCAAAGGCAGGAAAATCACGAGTTGATTGGTCATGGTCACAATAATTATGGTTGTGCCGTAGTTTCCAACCACTGGTATCCCTAGTGCAACTGTAGCCTTACAGGCTTGTGGGATGAGTTTTGTGCAGCATGTTGAGGTGCCTGGAACAATAATTGAGATCCATCATACAGTTTACATGCAACTAGGGCTGCCACAAACGATTATTTTGATAGTCGACTAGTCACCGATTATTTATGCGATTAGTTGACTAATCAGATCATCATCCACTGGACGTAAAACTACAGCTTATTGCACCAGCAGCATCTGCTCTTATATAACTATCATTAGCTTACAGCTTTAAGCTTTTAAGGTGCTAACTAAAAATAAAGACAAG